GGGCTCCGCCCCCGGGCGCGCGGCTAGGTGGGGCCCCGCCCCCTGGCGCCCGGCGGGCAAACGGCCACGCCCCCTGGCGCCCAACAACCTAAAAAGGTTGGGGACCACTGGTGTAGCCTGTGCTGTTGCCTCCTTATCTCTCACAAAGTGCTTTGCCAGAAAATAGGAGATATACTTCACAAAACTGAAGCAAGAAATGAACCCAAATACTTTGTCTGCTCTCCATCCTTAGGATCAAGGTTTATGCAAAGCCATTGTTATTGTAGCCAAACTGCCAGTTTTGTACCAAGAGATGAATGTCGATGGATGGTTCCTTCCAGGCAACATCTACTCCAGGCTCCTGGATTGTGCAGCTGGTCCCTGTTGCCCAGACATGGGCACAGGAAGTTAATCAAAGGGATACAGGGTGCCCCTACCAACTACACCAGTCTGCATCACATGGAGGGAGAATTAGCTTTGGATTGCTTTAGAGCAGGGTTCCCAAACTTTTTGACATGGGGACCAGTAAATCCATTCACGAACTTTTGGAGGACCAGCAATGTTCATTTGCTTATCTGCATATTCATTAATCAAATGATGAATATTCAAATAAGTTGTTTCTGGTCCTCCCAAATCTCCCAGTGCCAGCTTTAGCAAAGCTTTTGATATGGTCACCCACAATATTCTTGCCAGCAAGTTAAGGAATATGGATTGGATAAATGGGCTGTAAGACAGACAGAAAGCTGGTTAGACCAGGGTTTCCCAAACTTTTTACTTTAATTGGAACCCTTTTTCTTCCAATTTCCGAATGGGTCGAATCGGCCTAAGGGCCGGCAGTCACCAGGCACGCTGAGGCCTGGCCCGGTACCGGGCTGCGGACCATAGTTTGGGAATCGCTGCTTTAGAGTAGTTAATCTATGATCCTGATCCTGCTTCCACTACAGCAGTGTTTCTTAAACTGTGTTCTGAGGTGAGAACAACAGAATTAAAAATGGCTGCCCTTAAAGGGGCAGGCAACTTTTTCCCCCTCAATAACTTTCCCCTGATCCCTTTTCCCTCTGACCCTTTTTTTGTTCCTCAACAAAAAAATCCTTCGTGTTCCTCATAAAAAAATATTATTGTCTGGTGTTCCTCAGTCTTAAAAAGTTTAAGAAACACTGCACTACAGTGAATGGCCAAATCACCACTGATTTCAGTGAAAACTGGATCAAGCTTCATTTAAGTGTAAGTTAGCCAGCAAAATGCAATGCACATGTTGCTTTGATTTAGTTTGGTGAGGAGAACTCACTGCTCAAGTGAGCGTTGACTGCTTCTGTACTTTGTGTAAGCGGGGGAATGGTCCCGCTCTTGTGGGGAACTTTCCTGGCTTCTATACACCCCGGTGAAATGAACCAGCGAAAGGATCTGAGTCCCCGCTCCCACTTCCTTTACCCCACGGCTCCCTGATCCTGAGGGCTCCCCCTCCACTCTCCTGAGTAGCAGAGCCCTTGAAACCCCAACAAGGCTGGGCCCAGGTTTCCTGGGGCTTAATCCCTGACCTTGTAGTCACTAGGGGCAGGAGTTAGGGTGTCCCCACTCCGAGGTGCTCTCTTTACACTGCAGGCCTTCTTGGCCCAGTGATCACTTCATAAGGTTCAAAGCAAATACAATTTATTAAACATCAACAGATTAAAGAGAATAGAATAAGAAAAAAATGAGAATGGTTAAATGAGAACACACAGCCCTGCTCTGTAGCACGGGGACATCAAAACAGCAGCCTGCAGAGTGTAAGGACAGTCCACAGTCTCTTCCTTAGAGGCCTTGGATGTGCTGCGGGAGGGGGCTGCAGGCTGGACACGCTTGCTCTGGCAGTGACCACACAGCCTCAACCTCTAAGTGGCCAGACCCCTCTCCCAGTCCAGAGCCTCTCCCCACACTTTGCAGTTCCCAGCTGCTCACCACATCCAGCTGCAGGGTGCTGCTTGGCCAGTCTCTAGCTTCTTGCATTGCTTCTCTGTTCCTTTTGGCTCTCTGAGCACTGCCAGTCTGCTGCTCAACACAGGGTCTGTGCTCCTTGAGCTGTGTGTGTCAGGCTCAGCTGCTGCAAAAACTGCCCCTCAGCACACAGCTTGCACTCCTTGGGCTGTCTCAGCTCTCTGTTTACTCAGAGAGAGCCAGAACAATCCCAGCTCACAGGGAGGACGGGGCCTGGCCTCTCCCCTTCCTCACTGGCCTGACCAACCTGTCAATCAGGCTGAGCTGGAGTGTTGGCTGCTTTCCATTGTCTCTGGGGTCTGTCAGTCTCATGAACCCTTCCCCTTCAGAAACTGGGAGCTGGCAAACCAAAAAACTCCCACAGAGTTTTAGTAAGGGGTAACAGTCCCCTTACATTAAAGTACCCAGTCCCACTTTTGCACTTCTCCACTATGTATTAGCTTAGCTGCATTAATGCACAAGGGCAATGAATAATTTCTGAAACCATTTACAGCACAGGTTTATGCCTAGACATTCCCATCCATCTGCAATAAGTTGAGCAACTCAGTCACATTTACAAATCACCATTCTTGTTCACTGGCCACAGTCCTTCCTGCTCTACAGAACAGACAAATGTGCCAATTCACATGGTAGAAGGGGATGCATGTATGGACTACTTACTTTCTCAGGACAGCGATTTCATTCTCTATGCTGCTTTCCTTCCCCTTCAGAGCTTTCTTGGGGATGCACTTGACAGCAAATAGTTTTCCACTAGCCCTCTCTTCTGCCAAAACTACTTCAGAAAATGCACCCCTGAAAGAAGGAAAAGATTGGTTTCAAAATGTATTCTTTCTGTAGCTGTACTTGAACAAACAGACAGGAAGACACACGGTCAGACTCACAAACTCTTTCAAATATATAATAGATGATCCTGCAGCTATATGACCTTAGGCTGTCAAATAAGCAATTGGCTGTAAGACCGACAGGGCAAACTCAGGTACCTCAGGAAATTTTTTTGATTAGCTGTATTGTAGGAATTAACATTCTGAATCAGAACCAGTGTTCATCTAGTGCAGTATTCTGTTTCTGACCAGTACCAGATACTTTAGAAGATTTCAGAGAACCTATAATGAATAATTACATTAAAATGAGGGGGGTTTTACCCACTATTGGACATTAGTGGTTGTCTTGTACCCTTAAATATATATCCTTTATACATTTTCTCCTATCTGATATAACTGTGGCTGTTCATATTATGCATGTACTTGCCTGATTCTGTTTTGAATCCTCTTATACTCTTTGCTTCACTAATCTTTTGTGGCAGTTTGTTCCAAGAGTTAGTTTACATTGCGTAAAAAGATTCATTAGCTATTCTTCCTCTCTATCTGTATGAGGATTCTACAAATGTTGCCAGGAAATACTGGGTTGCTAGATATGCCATATTTCAAGAGAGATTTACAGCTCTGGTCCTGACTTCTGGTGATCCTTTTAGATCCCATGGCACTTTAGTACCTTGGCTAAGGATCACTGAGAGTTTTATGAGCATTTATGACCTCCAAAAGTCCCAGAGTGTGAAATATTAATATGGGTGGGAAATTCAGGCAGAAGGTGCTAAGTGAACTTACCTGAAATCACGGGTTAAGTCAGTGGCAGGGCTAAGAATAGTACTTTGGAGACTCCAGGCCTGTGCTTATTCTGCTTTGCTTATAAGACCCTTGGGCAAATTCTTTTCTGTTTGTTGTCTGTACGGGGGGTCCCAGTCTATGGCTAAGTTTTTAGGTTTTGTGGTAATACAACTAACTAACTACACAATAATGCATAATTATTAAAACTATCTATTTGCTCAGTAAGCTTTAACAACAGGAATATGCCATGAATGTTAACATGTGCATAGTTTATAAAACAAATGAAAAAGACTATACATGTGTAAAATGTTGCTCTGGATAACAAAAATGGGTATAGCAACTTTGACAAATCTCAAGAACTCCTCCTAAATGGTAAGAGCTAGGACAACCACATTCATAATACAGCTTTTTCTAATCGTAACTTAATGCAATATAAGGGTTTGGTTGTGCTGGGAAAATGGGATGTGCCTGAACAGGGATTGCATCTCACAAAACCAAACAGAAAAGAAACAGAATCATCAGGCAGGTGAAAGGGACTGGCTGGGAGCACACAAACCCCCTCCTCTGGAACTGCCCCAATCCCAAGCCTCCCTCACCCCCAGGCGCACTTGAGGGAGGGGGGGGGGCTGTAAGTCCCTCCACCCCCACCTGAATTCATCCAGGAGCATTGCTGGCTGTTCCCCTTTGTAAGGAAGTGAGGGAAAGTGCACAGTTTACTGCAGTCCTGACTCTGTCAGGGGAGTGCCAAGGGAAGACGAACCAAGACCTGCCCCAGCCAGGAGACATGAACACCTTCTCCGGCTGTGCCCACTGGAGCAAGTGGCCCTAAACTGCTGAGGCTGTCCTCTCTCACCGGGGCATGTACATTTTCATTTTATTTTCCAAAAAACAAAAATGAGTTAAGGACCCAAGCAACCATAGGTAAATCTTATAATCTATTATTTTAATAAAATAATAAGAATGAGGATATGTTTTCCTTCAACCATTATATTATTCTGCCACACACATGGCAGTCCATAAAAAGAAAAATTGCTAGCAGTCTGAACAAGCCACAACCATGCTCCAGCAAGTTCTTAAAATTTTAATATTTGATCATAACCTCATTAAGCTGCCATGAAATTTCTCTGATTTTTCATTTCCAGGCTTGCTTGTTATCAGTGGCTGCGTCTAGACTGGCAAGCTTTTCCACAAAAGCAGCCGCTTTTGCGGAAAAACTTGCCAGCTGTCTACACTGGCTGCTTGAATTTGCACAAGAACACTGACGATCTAATGTAAGATTGTCAGTGTTCTTGCGCAAATCCTATGATGCTCCCGCTCAGGGATAAGCCCTCTTGCACAAATATATTTGTGCAAGAGGGCCAGTGTAGACAGGAGAGGACTGTTTTGCGCAAAAAAGCCCCGATGGCGAAAATGGCAATCGGGGATTTCTTGCGCAAAACCACGTCTAGATTGGCACGGATGCTTTTCCGCAAAAAGTGCTTTTGTGCAAAACCGTCCATGCCAATCTAGACGCTCTTTTCCGCAAATGCTTTTAACGGAAAAACTTTTCTGTTAAAAGCATTTGCGGAAAATCGTGCCAGTCTAGACGCAGCCTAAGTGTCTGTGCGTAAACAGAAGCTTTTCCTTTTCATGGCCAGGCTCCTTCTTCATGATTCATATATCTGATGACACAGTCAAGCTTTTGGGACCTCACAATTGTTCCCTTGGATGTGAAAGAACTGAATGAATCATTGAATGAATGAATAAATGAATCCAGAAGATCAGGAGAATGAATAAGAAAGAGAAAGCTTCTGTTTACATAGAAAGGCCTTTGTGGCTAACAGTAATAAGGAAATTATAACAGGAAGTTAGGAATAGATTATTGGAATGATTGCAAAATGTATGTTGCGAAAGTTTGCTTAAATGCAGATATGACCTTTTTAGCAAAGGATAGTACGGTGTTACAGAGAGATTTCATTAATGTGACTATGGGCCCAGATTTTGATTTGACTTGAGTGTTTCTATAAACAGGAAACAACATTGACTTCTGTTCAGGGCTTCTGTACTCAGATTATAGCTTTTCAGAGAACTATGAAACCAATGCACTACATCATGGAGCTCACATACACTGTATCTAAAATTCTGAACAGTAAAGAACCAAGCAGGGCCACAGGATATTTAAAGACCCAGACATAATGAAATGACTGCATAATGCTTGTAATTATTTGATGAATTAAATTATTCTTTCATGCCAACTTCAATACTTAGAACAGACTAATCTATAGATCACAAATGTCCTGGTCCAGCTACCTGCTGAAAACCTTCAACTCCTATGACTTCTGTGCGTAATGAGGGTGCTTAGCCCCTCATTCGGAGGATTGCCCCCAAGCATTCTCCTGTTCCTCCAAAGAATTCCTCGGGTCCTGTTCTTGGATGCTTTTGATGCATACAGATCATCTATGCTCTGCACTTTTGGTTGTGCATCAGGGCAATCTCTCTTTGTCTTTAGCCTGCAAATGCTTCAAAGAAGGAATCTCTTATCTAGACAGCTTGTTTTACCTATTGTACAGTACTGTGAATGTTTATGGTGTTGTAAAACTAAAGAAAGTTTCTGTTTTGAACTCGAATTTATTGCTGTCCTACAATAATAAAATAAATGAAAGCCCTGCTCCTTATCAGTAGGCGCTGCTCTAGGAAATGCTTGGGCGCCAGATGCCATACAGATTTTAATGCCTTTCCTCCTCCATTTACTGGGAAGGCCGTGGGGTATAGAAGTTGTACCTGACCTCTAGATGTGAATGTATTGCTCTCTGAATGTCTTCTGAGACTTCAGAGTTGTATTCATTAGGAGTAACACTATATTTCTTAATAGTTGTTTTCATTAAAAGGGGAAAATGGAATAATCCTCAGCTGAATGAAAAAAGCCTTTGGCACCTATATACCACTTTTCACATTGCAGCATGTTAAACCAACACTGGATAGATTCATGCATCCCAAGAGAGTGACAACTTCTAGTAATAGTAGCAACTAACTACTACCTCTCCTTTGAGAACCCATAACCCTAAAGGTGGCATCACTGAGTATGGAGGGAATGTGACCAAGGGAGCAATGAGCTTAAGAATAAAAGGGAGAGGTGAGACATACTGGAAGCTAAAGAAAAGGAGACTGTAGTAGCCAAGAGAAAATTAACTCAGGCAAGGCCCAGGGAGGAGTTAGGGATGAAGATCAAGGGAAAGTAAAGTATTGCATAAATATGGTAGAAAAAGAAGGAAGAGGACTTCTCAAGGGCCAGAGAGAGGAATCAAAGGGCATACATACTGCCATCACATGGTGTGACAGCAGCAAAGTCATCGCAGCAGAGATTTCAGCGTGGACTAGCCACAAAAATAGAATACAATCATAGAATACTAGAACTAGATGGGACCTTGAAAGGTCATCAAGTCCAGTCCCCTGAACTCACAGCAGGACCAAGACCGTCTAAATCAGGTGTGGACAATAATTTTTTCAGGGGGGCCACTTAATGAATTTTGGTACTGGTCACGGGTCAGCTACCCCCCCACCCCCGGAATGGAAAGGGCCTGAGGTAGAAGGAGTGGAGCTAGGGACTAGCCTCCCACCGGAGTTGTCTGAGGCCAGAGGTTTTGAAGTAAAAACACAGCAAAGGGCCTACAAATCCTGACTCCACTGGTACCACATTGGCTTGCCACCTGGGGTTGCTGTGGATATTTAAAAGGCTTGTGGCACCAGCCCCTGCTGTGGTAGCGCAACCATGATCCGTAACACATTTAAATGGGATCCTGTTGCCTGAGCCACAACCTGGAAAATTAGATGGCACAGGCAGTAGGATATAAACGGCCAGATGAAGTTTGTGGGCTGGATCAAAGTGTTAGATGGGCCAGATCCTGCCCCTCAGGCTGCATCTTGCCCAGCCCTGATCTAAATCATCCCTGAGGGTACGTCTACACTAGCCCCCTAGTTTGAACTAGGGAGGCTAATGAGGGCAACGGAAATTGCAAATGAAGCATGGGATTTAAATATCCCGCGCTTCATTAACATGTTCCCGGCCGGTCACCATTTTGGAAACTGACTAGCCCGGAATAATTGTTCACGTTGACATGCGGCAGAGAAGCGCGATTCTGAGATAAACCCCTTAGTTCAAATTAACAGTTAAACCTCATTCAATGCCATGAAGTTTAACTGTTAATTTGA